GCAAATCCTAAAATAAAGGACATGACTCAACTAGCTCCACTAACTCCACTAATAGAAAGAAAATAGCAAAACAGAAATTGACCTGCTCTAGCCTAAAGAATAGGTTTTTATTAGAAAAAACTAAAACCTTACACAATAATCCCTCCCTTGAACTGAACTCGATCAAGAGTTTCAGTTCACAACTCTCATCCCAAAAGCTTATCTGATTCTTTTGAAATGATGTCATCTTCAAAGGCTTTGTCATTATGTCGGCTAGCTGCTCCTCGGTGCTGCAATAGACCAATTTAATGACACCTTCCTTTGTCAATTCATTGAGAAAATGGTATCGGACTCTTATGTGCTTTGACTTCCCATGCATGACTGCATTATTTGACAACTTGATATTGGACGTGTTATCGCAGAACAAAACCATCTCTTCATCTTGTTCATGCCCGATTTCTTTCAATATCCTCCTCATCCAAATGGCTTAACAAGCACATGTAGCTGCTGCCACATACTCTGCTTCAGTAGTTGACAGAGTTATGATTGGTTGCTTCCTTGAGGACCATGCCACAACTCCTCCACTCATCAAGAAAACATAGCCTAAAGTGCTCTTACTGTCATCCACATCTCCCGTATAGTTACTATCGGTGTAGCCTAAAAGTTCACTCTTCCCTTCATGTTGATACCATATCCCAAATTCTAGAGTTCCCTTCAAGTACCTCATGATTCTTTTTGCAGTAGCAAAGTGCAATTCAGTGGGATTTGCCATAAAACGACTAATAAGGCTTACCACAAACATCAGGTCAGGTCGGGTGGCTATGAGATACATTAGGCTGCCAACCATTTGCTTATATAGCGTTAAGTCGACCTTCACACCAGCTTCATCCCGGCCAACCTTTTGTCCAGGAACTATCGAATTACAAACGGAGTTGTAATTTTGCATCCCAAACCTCTCGATCAACTCAACATCATATTTTCTTTGACATATAAAGATGCCATCAGCCTTCTGCATCATTTCAATGCCAAGAAAATATCTCATCTTCCCCAAATCAGTCATGTCAAATTCATCCTTCATGGAGTGTTTGAACTTATTCAACAACTCTTCATCATTACTAGTGAACAATAGGTCATCAACATAAATGCTCACAATAAAGATTTTACCTCCCTTTTGTTTGATGAATAATGTTTGTTCACTAGAGCTGCTTACAAACCCTTCCTTGACGAAATAAGCCTCAATGCGACTGAACCAAGCTTTAGGTGCTTGTTTTAGTCCATAAAGAGTCTTATGTACCTTATAAACCATGTCCTTCTTCCCTACTACTTCATAGCTTTGTGGTTGCTCTACAAATACATCTTCCTTTAACTCACCATGCAGAAAAGCAGATTTGACATCGAGCTGATAGATTCCCCATCCTCTTTGTGCTGCTACAGCAACGACCATCCTTATTGTGTCCATTCGAGCCACCGGTGCGAATACCTATGTGTAATCTACTCCATACTCTTGAGCATACCCTTTTACAACCAGCCTAGCTTTGAACTTATCTACCTGTCCCAGTTCATTTAATTTGGTCTTGTAAATCCACTTAACCCCAATAGCCTTGGCTCCAATAGGAAGTGCAGTCAGCGACCACGTGTGGTTATGTTCGATGGATTGTATCTCAGCATCCATCACTTGTTTCCATTTCTGATGTCCTGTTGCTTCTTGAAAACTGGTCAGATCTGATATGACCATGAAAGCTAGGTTTTCAATCTCGACTCTAGCCATGTTTGCTTCTTCCTCTGTCTCTGATAGCCCTTCTCCTGTGATATAATCTGCAGACCAGATTGGTGGTTTTCTCACCCTGCCTGTCGTTGCTATCATTTCTACAGTTGGTGAATCGTTTGGTGAAGGAATGACATCAATGTCTTCTTCTGCTTCTTCCGCCTCCTTTGCATTCTCAACATCTTCATAATCATTCTCCCACTTAAGTTCAATACTTTATTCACCAAAATAACCAACATCTTCCCAATTCCACTTCTTATCTTCCTCAAATATCACATCTCGGCTGATGTGAACCTTTTTCTCCACTGGATCAAACATCTTAAAGGCCTTGGATTTACTGCTGAATCCTAATAGGACACACTTTACGCTTTTGTCATCGAGCTTGCTTCTTTTAACATGAGGGATATGAACATATCCGATACATCCAAAAACTTTAAAGTGTTTGACTGATGGCTTTCTTCCACTCCATGCCTCTTCCGGAGTCATATCTTTTACAATGAGTGTAGGAGATCTGTTAAGAACGTGATTCACCCATTGTACAACATCAGGCCAGAAATATTTTGGTACCTCTTTCTCTAATAACGTTGCTCTTACCATGTTCATGATTGTGCGGTTTTTGCATTCAGCAACGCCATTTTATTGCGGCGTGAAGGCGGTGGTCAGCTGTCTTTTGATTCCATGCTCTCTACAGAATTCCTTAAACTCATTTGAGTTGTATTCTCCTCCTCTATCCATTCTTAGACATTTTATGAACAATCCAGTTTGCTTCTCCACAAACGCTTTGAATGTCTTGAACTGATGAAATGCTTCTGATTTTTCTAGCACAAAATATATCCATGTCTTTCTCGAGAAATCGTCAATAAAGCTTATCAAGTACCTTATTTGACAGTTTGATTAGGATTGATCGTACCGCAAAGATCAGGGTGGATAAGCTGCAATCTTTCAGTGGCTCTCCACTTTCTTTGTTTTGGAAATGGAACACGGTGGTGTTTCCCTTTGACACACGTCTCACAGGTGGTTTTCATATCTCCAATTTTAGGTAAACCCACAACCATCTCTTTATTACATAAAGTGTGAAGTCCCTTGTAGCTGAGATGCCCATATCGATGATGCCACAACTCTGTCTTGTCTGAGATATCAACCTACAGGCATCTCTTCTCCTCTGTTTTGTCATTTGATTCACCTAGTAGGATAAACATCCTATTAGCACTCATAACAGATTCTGCAATTTTTCCTCTCGATGGATGAAAAATGCTGCATGTTTTTTGATCTCCTCCTTTGAATAACACGTCTAAACCCCTTTCTTGAAGTTTCCCAACACTCAGCAGGTTGTTCTTCAATTCCGGAATATAATACACATCGTTGACCACATAACTTATTCCCTTAAGCATTACCTTCACCACTCCTTTCCCACCAACTATCAGTTTGTGATTGTTCCCAAGCTTGACATTATGTGTGAAGCTAGTGTCCAAGCTTGAGAACATGTCTCTTTCTCCACACATATGGTTTGAACATCCAGAGTCAATGAACCACACATCTCCTCTTCTAGTACCTTGAAGTTCCACATATGCCATGAGAAGAACTTCATCCTTTTCTTCGATCTCTGCAAAATGTGCTCCATTGTTCCCATTTGGAAATTCATATTGGAAATGTCCAAGTTTGTGGCAGTTGTAACACTCGATTGTTTCTTTGTTGAATGAGCGTCCTCTGCCCCTGCCTCGACCTCTATGATCCTTTGCCTCTGCCTCTGACATTGAGAGCTTGATCATCTTCTTCATGACTTGTCTTCTTAAATTTCTTTTCATGTACGGACAGAGAACTCTGAAGTTCGTCAATCGTCATCTTTTCTATGTCTTTTGACTCCTCAATGGACACCACCACATATGTGAACTTGTTAGTCAAAGTCCGAAGTATTTTCTCAACAATCTTCGAATCTGACATGTCTTCTTCGTTGCTTCTCATCTTGTTGGAGACCGACATTACTCTTCCAAAGTAATCATCGATGCTCTCTTCATTCTTCATTGCAAGAAGCTCAAAATCTCTTCTTAGGGTTTGATGAAGGGACCACTTCACCCTTTCGTTGCCTCCAAACTTTCTCTTCATCGAATCCCAAATGATCTTGGATGTTTTGCGATCCAAGATCTGTTCAAACACAACCCGGTCAATTGCCTGGAACAGGTAGTGCTTCACTTGACAGTCCTTCATCTTGAGATCCTCCAGAGTCTTCTTCTGCGCTGCAGTCAATCGGTTCCCTCCGCCGGTTCGGTGTAACCCTCTTTCACTAGACTCCACACACCCTTGGCACGCAAGAGGTTTTCCATCAGTTCACTCCAATGATCATAGTGACCATCAAACTGTGGAATCTTGGTGACTGTTTTGTTGTCGCTCATCTTCTCTCTCTTGGATCACTTTGCTTTGCTTTGGCTCTGATACCAATTGTAAACTGCACCAGAATGATCGCTTTATTCATAGGTTTCAATGCCTTTTATAAGGAATACATAAAAATGGTAAACAACTGCAAATCCTAAAATAAAGGACATGACTCAACTAGTTCCACTAACTCCACTAATAGCAAAAAAATAGCAAAACAGAAATTGACCTAAAGAATAGGTCTTTATTAGAAAAAACTAAAACCTTACACAACAGAATAATCTAGAACTAATGATTGAGTCTTTCTCTTATTGGGCCTTTCCCCGGCCCATAAGAAATCCTAATACTATTGACTTCTCAAATGCATGTATGTTTAGAAACACAACAAAATATTAAAAAATAAATCTAGTCCACGGCACGTCTTTCAAGGAAACAAAATAGAAGAATTGAACGTGCTTCTTGCAACGAAGCAGAGAGTTCTACGCCATCACCATGTGAGATATGTCTCGTTTTTTGAGCTTCAGATTCATATAATCACATACTCATCACTCGTCACCTTCTTCTCCCCTCCTATCTGTATCCAGTAAGTCAATTATTCCAAACTCTATCCTTTTTTTATTACTATTATTCATTTTATTCTCAACTTGTGTATGTGCATGTGTGTGTATTTATTTGCATTTTATTAACTTTTAATATATATTAATGAATCATACACATTTGAATCTACCAATATTAACTATTCTTTCTGTCACACACATTTGCAATTGTTTCTTTTATAACAATGCTATTTTCTCAACTAATCAATGCTCACTAATCTGTGAAAATGGGTGGTGAATGAATTTTTCTAGGATGTTATGCTTGAAAATATTCCTCATAAGCTAGAAAAATGGGGTGCACTCACTCTGTGTACAAGAAGAAGAAATCAACCATTCATGAAGTAGTTGTGTTAACTCCGTCAATCCGAATTCCAGTGCAATCTGATCTTCAAAGAGCACTTAAAGGGTTGATTCCGAAGGATCTTGCTGATAAATTGTCTTCCTTGAGGAACCAGATTGTGTTGGTAGCAGAAGATACTGGTTTGTTCATATGAATTCTATTATAGTTTTTTCTATGATATCATGATGAATGGAAAAACTAGTTAAATATGTTTTGATCGTTTGAAAATTCGCATATTTGATGTTGTAGATGGATCAGCTATAGCTGAATTGCGGCGAGCTTTGAATGAATACTTATCTGTTCTCATTGGACTTACTAAGAAAGGTTCATAAATTTCTCCCAATAAAATAACTAATTTATTTTCTCTATGATCTTTTTATTTCTCAAATGAGTTATAATTTATGTATGTTGCAGAGTTTGGTCTTGAGGGACTAATAGAATTCAAGTGGAAAAACTTTGAAGATGGAAGACAAGTATGGTTACTTGTTTGTAATATCATTCTTAATTTATCATTTTTCATCATTGGTTTTGGAGTTTTTGTTTAAACATGTTAATGTCTGATTTTGCAGGACAGTAGTATAGCAAATGTGTGGTTTGAGGTGTTATCTTCTGTTCACTTTATGGCTATGCTGACACTTTCTGAGGCTGATTCACTGATGATCCCGAAAGACAGTTCAGACTCTGGATTCAGGGTTGTGTCTTCAGGTTTTGCGCAAATATATAACCTTTTTACTCATATAACTGCGTGTTTGGATTGATAAAATCACGATGACTATGGAGAATTTTGTTGAAACTACAAAACGAAGTTTTTGTTAAATCAGTGTCACCGTGATTCTGATAAACTTGCTGGGAATCTTATTAAACGATCCACAAGTTAAACAATCAATAATCGTTGATTGTGCATTTTTGTAATATCAGATAGCAAAAGGGAAGCAGTTGATTTGTTAATCAAAGCATCGGGGTACTTGGAGTTCTGTGTTAGGCAAATTCTTCCTCAAATACCATTTGAAAACAGGTATGAATGTCACACAAATTTTATGTTTGAAATTACAGGAATTGAACGCCGTATTAAGGAATTAACTTTAAAGTTGAAACAATATGCAGCAAAGTTTTGCCACATGATTTGCAGGAGGGTGTATTGGAGGCTATAGCTATTCAAGCACTAGGCCAGGTACATGTTAATCAATCTCTAGGTTTACTTATGGTAGTATTTAATTCTTCTAGATTAGGAATAATAGCTTATCTTGATGACTTTTTAGGGAACTGAAATTCAGCTTGGATTTGCTGTGGAGAGTCAAAAAGCTACTTTGTCTGTGAAAAGGAGGTTGGCATGTGAGCAGCTCACTTACTTTACTCAGGTCTTTATTTCAATCCTTTGAGCACCACTTCACAATGTTATTTCTCCAATATAGAAGTCAGGGTCGTCATTGAGGACGGTGCAAGTCAAAATATTCCATAGGGCTTAAAATTTGTCACATTTAAACTGTAACTATCCAAGGCCTCCAAAAACTTTGTCATTGTTAAAATGTGGTTAAACAATACCTCTAATTGTTTTGTCATCGTTAAACCGTAACTATCCAAGGCCTCCAAAAATTTGAAACGGCTCTTATAGAAGTGTTTCTCACTTTTATGAGCAGGCCTATCACTGCTTATCAGGATGTGACTTCAACCAAGGACATGGAAAGAAGCATCTCAGGTTCATCAAATGGAAATTCCTTGAATCCAAGGTTAGTATTAGTAGTAATGCTATCAACATTGGCTAAATAATTCTCGCCAAAAGATAAACTTCGGCGAGATTCAATAACATGAATGATCCAATTCTGATCACATTTCTTAATAATGTTGGCAGGCTGCAGCATACTACTACCATGGTCTAATCCTCGACAAGGGTAACGAACCGAGCTGTCACATTGTCGCTGTGTCTTGTTTTCTTGCCGCAGAAGAACTTCTGGTCGAAAGCAAAAAGGCCGGTTTGAGTTTTTGTCTTGCAGCTCCAGTCACAAGGTTGGTTTTTTCATTTTGCCTAAAATCTTACAACTAATAGAGATAAATAAACTCTTATGTATCTTTTTTTTTTTTTTATCTTTATGAAGAGCTCCTCCACCATGGGGTGTTATGAAACTTCTACATCAGAAAATTCCTGAAGTTGCTTCAAAGAAGTATCAAATGTATGGATATCTTCTAGAGCAAGAAAAGTAAGTATCCCTTTTTTTTGTTTATGTTCTAACTAAGTTCATCAATTACTTCATTGAAATATAATTTGTATGCAAAACTTGGAATTTTGTTAATGATGCAGGGGTCTCCAAGCATTGCCAGACCTACCTGAGTTTCAATTATCATTGCATCCAGATGACTATGAACTGCCTGAAATTGATCCAGTATGGGATACTAAAAATTGGGAAACTTTAGGACAACCATTGAAAGAGCATCTTAGAGATTGTGATGAGAAATCAACTGATTGATTATACACTTATTTTTATGGTTTTCTTTCTCTTCTATTTTTGTAGTTCAGTATATGATTGGCTATAAGACTCTTGTCCAAGCTAATTAAAATTACCATAGAATTCATGGGGTCATTGTTCATTCCCTTTATGACTCTTAAGTTCTAATACAAACAGTATGAGACATAGATTTGTTGATTTAAATCGGATGATGCTTTTTATTGGGTGCTTTTGGTTTTTTTAAATGCCTGATATGATGTTCTCAGAAATATATAAGTGAAATGAAATTGAGAAGCAAGTTGACAAACCTCTTTCACATTTGCTGACAAATCGAAAAAAAGATAAAAAAATTTATCATTAGAGTTGAGTTTAATCCAAACTATCTTAGTAGAAGTTAGTTATGCTAATAGTAGTTAGTTCGAAGTAGTTTGTTTTGCTTTTTAGTTAGTTATGAGACACTTACTTGTTGAGCAAGCAATAACTACCTTGTATATAAACAACTCCTATAGTTTAATGCAATTACATTCTTCTCTCTCACTTTCATAATTCCTCTAAATTACTCTCTTATTCTCTTCTTTGATAATGTTATCCCCAACAAATTGGTATCAACGCTTTGTTGATTCTAAGGAACTCAAGTTATTGTAAGAGATATCAATAATGGTGGGTTAAGAAAATTTTATAGCACACCTACGTGTTCTTGATGGCAAGAATCGGAACAAATGGGTGACTTAAAAGAAAGTGATTTTTGGTGCACAAGATATTTGTGATATGGTGGAAACAGGTGTTGAAGTTTTACCTGAAGATGCAACTGCAACACAAAAGAAATCTCACAAGGAAGACAAGAAAAGAGATTGCATTCCTCTATTCCTCATTCATCAAAGTGTTGATTTGAAGGTGTTTGAAAAAATTTAGTCAAGCTACAAACATTGAGGAGGCAACTTGAAATGTTGCAGATGAAAGAAGATGAGAAGGTAGGTAACTATATCTCAAGATTGTTGATTTGACAAATCAAATGAAGCATTGTGGTGAATCTCTTAATGAGGTGAAGATCATTGAGAAAGTTTTGAGAACATTGTCTCTAATCTTTAATCACATATTGGTGACCATCAAAGAGACAAAAGACTTGGATAACATGAAGATTGGAGATTTGAAAAGCATTCTTGAAGCCCATGAAATGGTGGTAGTTAAAAGAGAAACTGGAAAATAGGAGGAACAAGCACTTTCCAAATTCAAGAAGTTAGAAGCAAGCAAAGAAAGGTGAAAGAGAAGTCCACGAATGGTGAAGACAAGCTTGAAAGATCAAGCAAGAATGGTGGATGACCTGTCAAGAACCAAAGTTAGAAAAAGACCTTTGACAAAAGGAAGGTACAATGTTACAATTGTGAGAAGATGGGACACTATGCAGATAAATGTTGGCTAGGAAAAGGAAAGAAGTCCAAGAATGGTGAATAAGAGGCCATGATTGGTGTAGAAAATTTTGGATCAAACTCGGATCCAGTTATTCTCATGGATGTAACTAATGTTGAGGTTCCAAAATTCATAAATCTAGTATCTTGACACTGGTTACAAAAATCATATGACCGGAAGGAAGGATAAGTTGCTTGATTTTTATGTAAGTAAGAAGACCAACATCAAAATGGATCATAACAAATCCATAGTGGTAGAAGAAATGAGACATGTAGTCATACAAAGGAACGATGGTAAGGCATCTTTGATTAAGAATGTATTGCTTGTGCCAAACATGCAATGCAATTTGCTAGGTGTAGGGAAACTGGTGCAAAAGTTTTTTTTTATGAAGGAGAATAGTTGGTTGAATCTTTTTTATAACAAAAGAAGAATAATCCATAAATCTTGCTTGTCAAGAAATAAAACCTTCAAGGTATGCCTCCAAAACCCTGAACTAAGATGTTTTGCTGCAACGTCTCATGAACATGAAGTTGAGCTATGCCACAAGAGGTATGGTCATTTGAACTACAAAAACCTAAGCCAACTAATTTCAAAAGGGATGGTGATTGGAGTCCCTAAGTTACAAATACCAAAAAGCTCATGCACAATATGCTTGGTGGGAAAGTAACTTGGACTAGCCTTCAAGTCTAGTCTACCTATGAGAATCAAAGAAGGACTTGGTTTAGCTCACTCAGATATTTGTGAACCATTAGAAGTACCTAGTTGTGGTTAAAATAAGTACTTATTCACCTTTGTAGATGAACTCTCAATAATGTTATGGATTTTTTTAATCAAAGCCAAGAGTGAAGCCATTGAGGTCTTTAAAGTTCTCAAAGCAATGGTAGAAAGACAAAGTTGCAAGCTTGTAAAGATCTTGAAAGTGAATTGTGGATGAGAGTACACCTCAAAGGATTTTGAATCTTTTTGTACAAGTCAAGGCATCATTCATAAAGTCACAACACCATACACTCTTTAACATAATGGATTGGCATAAAGAAGGGAAAAAAGTATTCTCAACATGACAAGAAGCATGTTGAAGTATAAAAATCTACCACATGAGCTTTGGGGTGAGGTTGTATCCATTGCTGCTTATATCTTGAACAAATGCTCCACAAAGAGGTTAATGAACAAAGTTTTGAGGAAGCTTGGTTAGGAAGGAAGCCTAGTGTAAATCACTTGAATATTATTGGTTTCTTGTGCTACAAGCATATTCCTGATGCCAAAGAAGGAAGTTGGAGGACAAGAGCAAGAAAATGGTTCTTGTAGGCTACCACGACACATGAACCTATAGATTGTTTGACCCTGATACAAAGCAACTTTCCATCAGTAGAGATGTGAAAGGTCTTAGAAGATGAAGTCTGGAACTGAAATGTCAAAAACAATAATGTTATCAACAATTTAGTGCATGTTCACTCTGAAACTCGTGATGTAGAGGAGGTTGGCACTGAATACATAGTAGAAATTGAGGATGCTAATGAGGAAGAACATGCACCCGCACAAACTAGACTACGAATATCAAGGTAAATTCCTAAGAGGCTAGTTGATTGTGAGCTAGTCTCTGATAATGAAGTAGGCGCTGATGGAGAAATGGTGCATCTTGCAATGTTTGCAGATGTTGAGCCAATTCATTATCAAGAAGCTCTCAAGGAACATGCTTGGAAGGAATTCATGGTTGAATAACTCTGCTCTATAGAGAAGAATAAAACATGGGAATTAACCAAGTTACCTGAAGGAAAAAAGGTTGTTGCAGTCAGATGGGTGTTCAAGCTCAAAGTGAATCCTGAAGGAAAGTTTGTCAAGCACAAAGTCAGACTTATCGTAAAAGGCTTTCTACAAAAACAAGGGGTTGATTATAATGAAATTTTCTCACCAGTTGCAAGACATGAGGCCATCAGGTTAGTAATCGTCTTGTCCTTCAATATAGGATGACCTTTTTTTCATTTTAATGTTAAGTCGGCCTTCCTTAATGGCCCTCTAGAAGAATAAGTATTCATAGCCTAGCCTCCTGATTTTGTCATCAAAGGAAAGGAACATCTAGTTTGTAGACTATACAAAGCCTTGTGATTAAAATGAGATAGACATATTAATGTATATAGGGTAAAAAAAACACTCCAAAACTCCCTCATAACAAAATAAGAATAAGAAAACTCAATTTTTTAAAGGGTAATGTTAATTTGTGTCATAGGGGCACAAGTTAAGAACTAAATTAAGAAATATGTCTTAAAAATTGTGCATAGACTTTAATAAAAATATAAAATTATTTTTTAAATTATTTTTTCACGTCTCCTGACGCTGGGGAGGTGCCCGTTTTGAGGACCACTGCTGAAGAGTTGTTTGTGGCTGAACCAATAGAGCACGCCTCACTCTTTGCTTCTTATACTAGGGAATTTTTCACAACAGTGGAGGCCGAATGGGAATGGAAGGTCCACTTCCCCAGAGAAAATGATCGCATATGCTCGTCATACGAGGAGAGGTTTCCAATGTATGAGTATGTTTTCAAGGAGATAGGGCTGAGGTTGCCCTTTTCAGATTTCCAGAGGGTGGTCTTCGTGCATTTGGACCAGACGTCCTCCCAGTTGCATCCAAACTCGATTGCCTTTATGCGGACATTCGAGCTAGTATGTGAGTACCTGGAGATTAGGGCTACTCTTCCCTTGTTCTTCACCGTCTTTCGCCTCCAATGACAGGTAACGGGGAGGAACTTCGGTTGGGTCTCCCTGAAGAAAGGGAGAAAGTTGTTAAAACTTTTCTCTGAGTCCATCCGGACTTTCAAAGAAAGGTTTTATGTTATTGAGTCTGTATCGAAGAAGGCCACTAATTCAACCTTCATATGGGAGGTCTCCACAGATGAAAACAGGGAAGACTTGGTAGATGAGCACGACAAGATAGTTGCTTGGAGGTTTTTCCAGTTCCCTTTCTGCTAGAGTGGGGCCCATTTTACCCGCTAGACCAACGAGTACATTGTTACCCCTCATTAGTTGGGGGATGATGACCGGACCAGCTATGCCAAACTGGTGGCTTTTGTGGATAGTTTTTTTCCCGCCCAGTGTGTGACTCATGCTGGGAAGATCATTTAAGAGGAAGATGGGGGTCCTTGGCGAGGTAATTTTATACGGGGGTCATCCAGCAATGGTTGTCGCCGACGACGTGCACATCCAGGGTCGCAGACGCTTTCTCAATGCTAGGTTGCCGAAGTACTTCCTGGATGACAAATTTTTTTCCCATTTTCTTTTTCGTGCTTGCTAGTTTTGATAAGACGTCCACCCAGACGTTGTGTTCGCGGGGAACATGTTTCACTTCCATGGAAGTAAACTTTGTCATCTTTTCTTTGACCAGGGTCAAGTATTCTGACAGGTTGTCATTTTTGACCTGGTATTCTCCCCGATTATGGAGGGCCACGAGCTGAGAATCAGTGCAGATGACGATTTCTTCAGCTCCCAAGTCTTCCGCGAAGCGCAGACCTACGAGGAAAGCTTCATATTCGGCCTGGTTGTTAGAAGTAGGGAATGACAACATGAGCAAGACTTCGATGAGAATTCCTTCCTTGTTTTCCAAGATGACACCTACCCCGCTCC